GTCTGTTGCAAAGCTGGGAAAGGTGGAGAAGGAGGAGGGGAGAAGCGGAGGAGCAAGGGAAGGGGAGAAGCGGAGAGCAAGGGAAGGGGGGTCGGGGGAGGGGGGGGGTGGGGGGCGGGGAGGGAGGGCGGGGAAGGCAAAAACGCCAAAAAAACAGCAAAAAGTGAGGGGGTCAAACGCCAAAAAGTCAGCCAAAATCGAGGGAAGCCGGGCGAGGGGGTGGAAAATGCAGGCAAAAAACGGGTGGGTCCAGGAGCATTGGGTGGAGGCACTTGAGGTAACCCCCAAGACGCCTGGGCCTGTGGCCTCGGCGGATTAGCTAAACAAACATGTACCGTGCATACACACAGGTAGGCCTTCGACATTATATCGGGCATTTGCATGCTGACTTTGCACTTGCATCTTGCCTCGCTTTCCTCATGCTGGCTCGCACACCATACATGTGTTCTAATCCTGCAGCTCTCCCACAGCATGCAAGAAGTTCCATTTGCATCAGCAGGCAGCGCATTGGCCCGAGAAGGGCAAGGCCCCAGATGCTGCGTTCTCGGAATCTGCGGATTCAAAGGAGTGCTGTGTGTGTGTGTGTGAGATCGTTTGTGCAAGGGAGGCAAGCCTTCCCGCATCGACCCTGACATTCAGCCATTAGGTTCAATTTCAGGAGCGCGGGCAGTGGTAGCAAGAGCACTGCTACTACAGCCATGGCCGCTGATGCCCTGACGGCCGCAGGGACATGTATGTTCGACGATGCAGTGATGGCTGCGAAGCTGCCTGACGCAGTCGTTCAGCGCTTCAACGAGTGCTTGATCACAGGCGCTCCTACAACAGAGGCGCTCGCATGCCTAACGTCTGTCTCGTGAGAGCTGTGCAATGGAGACCTTTGTTCGCAGGAGGACCAGAAGGTCATCTCGGAAGCGATCTTCGAGTGGGCCCGGGAGAGAGGGGCAATAGACTTTGCCCACTGGTTCTTCCCTCTTCGCGGCAGCTTGGCGTAAACCGCGGACCCATCCGCCTTGAACGGGCGCAGATAGGTGAAGAGCTGCCTGCCAGCAAGTTAGCCTTTGTGCGAGGGCCATGAAGCAATCCAAGGCGGTGGCGGTGCCGTCGGCGGAATGTTAGGTGCCTTCAAGAAGGACACTCTGATGGACCTGGAGTTCGGCTCCCAGTTCACGACGAAGCCGATGAAGGCTTGCCTGCCTCATGAACGTCTCTTCCAAGGAGAGACGGATGGCTCCTCCTTTCCCAATGGCGGCCTGCGTGTCACACACTCCGCAGCTGCCTTCACTACTTGGGATAGATCATCCCCACCTTTTGTGATGGATTGCTGTCTGTATATGCCATGCGCTTTCATTACCCACTTCGGGAAGTGCATCGATGAGAAGACGCCACTGCTGCGGTCGATGGATGCCGTCAAGACCCACGGCCTTCGCTTGCTGCAGGCTATCGGCATAGGCAAGGATGCTCAGACAATGCACAGCTACCTGGGATGGGAGCAGGAGTTCTTCGTGCTGAGCGCCGCCCACTACAAGGCACGCCCCGACTTGGTGAACACCGGGCGCACGCTCTTCGGCAAGCTGCCCACCCGCCACCAGCAGGGAGACTTGAATTACTTCCAGGCGATCCCCGGCAAGGTACAGGAGCTTCTCGATGTTGTGCAGGCCGAGATGTTGAAGATCGGTTGCCCCATGGCCGTGAAGCACAACGAGGTGGCACCTGGACAACACGAGATGTCCCCCGTCTTCCGTGCTGCGAACGTGTCTTGCGACAGCAACGTCTGCTTCATGGAGGTCATGAACCGGGAAGCCGCGAAGCTCGGCCTCCAGGTTCTTTTCCACGAGAAGCCCTTTGCTGGCATCAACGGCAGCGGCAAGCACGCCAACTGGTCAATCGGAACTGACACCGGCTTGAATTTCTTCTATCCGGGAAAGAACGAAGATGGGGCCAAGCTGTACGTGACTGCCATTGCCTGCTTGGCATATGGGTTGGCGCAGTACAACGAAACTAGGTTCGTATGTCTTACTTTTTTTTCCAGCAGTTTGTTCGGTAATGTATTTTGTACATACAGCTGTGGTGACTCTGGACGCTAGCGACTAGTAGTACCCTCGCCCTTTGCGGATGCATTGACAGCCGCCAGACTGACCCGAGGAGATGGTGCGGTGCACCGTGGCCAGCGCTGGCAATGACCACCGCTTGGGAGCGCAAGAAGCGCCCCCGGCCATCATCTCTCTGTACCCGGGCCAGGGCTTCGAGTCCTTCGTGGATTCCGTGGTCAGCGGGGGCGATCTTCTGGGTCCGGGGCTCAAGGTAACAGAAAAACAGCGAAAGTCTCAGCAACAACTTGTGCCTGCCAGGTTGATTGATAGAGCGAGTTGTGTGTATGTGTGTGCGGCTTCCCGATGCATGCACAATTTGTCTCGTACAGCAAGACATGCTGAGCTGCTTTCGCTGCACGGGTTGGAAAGTCTTGAACTGAACAGGATACAAGGCCGAGAAGAAGAAGCAGGAGACGGGCTGCAGCTCTGCCATGCACATCGAAGCCAACGTCGAAGACCGCAACCGAACAGCCCCGTTCCCGTTCTGCGGCAACCGCTTTGAGTTCCGTGCGGTGGGCTCTTCCCAAAACTGCTGCCTTCCGATCATGGTCTGCAACGCGGTCATGTCTGCTGGAATGTCGCACATGGCTTCCCTCATCGAGGGCGGCATGAGCCATCGTGATGCCGTGGCTCAAGTGTTTAAGGAGAACAAGCATGTGATCTTCACCGGCAACGGTTACTCA